AAACAAATATAAATATATAAATATATAAATATATATACATATATATATATATAGTGTAGCACAGTATTTTTATAATAGAAAATTTTAATAATGTTATTATAAGAATAAGAAAATATTATAATAATATAACATAATAACAATAACAATAAATAATGGTACAACAATTATAAATAATAATATATATACAAATAGATAAATATATATATATATATAAACATATATACATGTATATAAACACACAAGTAAGCATATATATATACATCTCTAAATATAAATAAGCATATATATAATAAATAGTAATCGTAAACTACTCTACATATATAATACATATAATAGATATTATATATATAGATATTAATTAATATATTTATATATTAATTTATATATTTGTGTTAAATGTTTTACAAGGGCTAGATGATTAAGCAACAGAATGCGGGAGGAAGTAAAGTCTTCTAGCCAGCTGCTGCAGCAATTCAGCAGAAGGCCAGGAGGCAGCAGCTTTAGTTTAATTAACTCGCAAACAAAACGCAAGACGCGAACCCGCTCTTCTACCTGCAGCAAATACATCATACAACAACAGCAGCAGCAGCAGCAGCAGCAGCTAATCTATCGTACACCAGCAACAGCAGCAGCAGCTAATCAATCATACTGCAGCAGAAGCAGCAGCAGCTAATCTATCATACACCAGCAGCAGCAGCAGCAGCTAATCAATCATACTGCAGCAGAAGCAGCAGCAGCTAATCAATCATACACCAGCAGCAGCAGCTAATCAATCATGCAGCAGCACAAAATGCAAGTAATCCAGCAGCAAATCATAGAGCAGCAGCAACAAATCATAAAGCAGCAGCAGTAAATAAAGCAAATGAAGCAGCACTAAATAAAGCAAATGCAACAGCAGTAAATAAAGCAGCAGCAAATGAAGCAGTGGTAGCAGCACAAACAGAAGTAGCAGGACAAGCAGCAGCAAAAGCAGCAGCAGCAGCAAAAGCAGCAGCAGCAGCACAAACAGCAGTAGTAGCAGCACAAACAACAGTAGTAGCAGAGCAGCAGCAAAAATATTAACAAGAAGAAGACGAAGTAAACAAATAGAAATGAGACGAGAAACAAACAGATAAATAAATAAATTAAATAAATAAATAAATAAATAAATAAATAAATAAATAAATAGACAAACTTTTGTGGGGTCGCAGTCGTCAGCAAGCTGTCTCCATTTGCTCTGCAGCAACTCTAACGCTTGATTTGTCTCCTCCTGCACACAAGCAGCAGCAGCAGCAGCAGCAGCAATAGCAGAAGCACCAGTAATTGCAGACGCACCAGTAATAGCAGCAGCAGCAGCAACCGCATTAACGACAGCAGCATCAACAACAGCAGCAAGAACAGCAACAACAACAGCAGCAGCAGCAACAACAACAGCAGCAACAATAACAACAACAGCAGCATTAACAACAGCAGCAGCAACAACAACAGCAGCAATAACAACAGAAACAGCAATAACAAAAGCAGCAGCAATAACAACAGCATCAGCAACAACAACAACAACAGCAGCAGCAGCAGCAGCAGCAGCAGCAGCAAGACCTTGAGGAGTTTCCTAAGAATGGCTAGTAGGCGAGCGCAGCAGGGCATGCACTGTACGTTTGTCTCCGCAACAAATAAAATATGCATTATCAACTCGCTGCGGTTTTGTTTTGCGTTTAAACGCTCCAGAAAGAAATCTGCTGCTATCTGCAGCAGCAGCAGCAACAGCAACAGCAGCAGCAGAAAAACAGGGTCAGCTGCTGCGGGTGCTACAGCACAATCAGTGCAACAGCAAACGACACAACGCATGCGGCAGCAAGTGCAGCAGCAGCAGCAGCAACAGCAGCAGCAACAGTGACAGCAGCAGCAGCAGCAGAAACAACAACAGCAGCAGCAGCAACAGCAGCAGCAGCACCTGGTCTATCTGCTGCGCAGTCGTAGCCTGGGATATTCGATTTAGTAAGGCAGCCATTGCTCCTCCCGTGTCAGTTGCTGCTGCTGTTGCTGCTGCTGGCCCTGCTGCTGCTGCTGCTGCAGCTGGCGCTGTTGATGTGGCAGATGCTGCAGCGTCTCCTGCTGCTGCTGCTGCTGCTTGCTGCTGCTCTGCTGCTGCCTGCACGCAGCAGCAAATCACCACGCGGAGACAGTAGAAGAGAGACGCAAATAAATTAATAAAAATATAAACAAACAAATAAATATAAACAAAGACAAACAAGTATAAACAAAGACAAATAAATATAAACAAAGACAAACAAATATAAACAAAGACAAATAAATATAAACAAACCCCCTTGAGCTTTTCTTCTTTGTTGTCTTTGGGTTTGAGGAGGCCTGCTGGCAGCAACTCAAACAAATCAGGGATATCTGTATAAAAAGCCCTGCATGCATGCATGCACACCGCATCATTTTGCTGCTGCTGCTGCTGCTGTTGCTGCTGCTGCTGCGGATGCTGTGGATGAAGAAGGTGAGGTTCACGCAGAAGCAGTAGCAGCAGCTATAGCAGCGAAAACTGCTGCAGCAGCAATTAGAGCAGCGCCAACAACAGCAGCAACAGCAACAGCAACAAGATCAACAACAGCAGCAACAGCAGCAACAGCAGCAACAGCAGCAGCAGCAGCAGCACTTTGTCTACACCTTTCCTGCTTGTCCTTCCATATGAGAGCATTTGCTTCCTCAGCAGAAGCAGCAGCATCAACAGCAGCAGAAGCAGCAGAAAAAGATGTTGTGCTGCTGTTTGCGTCCCCAGTAGCTCTGATAGCACTGAGAAGCAGCGATGCTCCTTCAACTTCTGCTGCAGCAGCACGTTCAAGATCTGCTGCTGCCGGTGGCTGCTGCTGCAGCAGCTCCGCGAGAGCAGCAGCTTGATTAAGTGCAGCAGCAAACCTCTCTTTTAAAGCATTCACTCGAGCATGCATCTCTATAGGGACCCTACCATAATCTATTGTTTGCTGCACTGCTTCTACTTGCTGCTGCAGCACCTCCCGCTGCAGCGCATGCAGCAGCGGCAGCACCGCGAAAGAATAAAACTGAAGCAAACAAACTCTTATCTGCACACACACCACACACAAACAAACAATCAACTTCCTCCTCCTGCTGCTGCTGCTGCTGGTGCTGCTGCTGGTGCTGCTACTGTTGCTGCTGCTGGTTCTGCTGCAAGAGCTGCTGCTGCTGCTGCTGCTGCTGCATAGATTTCCACTGCCTCCCGCAATTCCCTTGTTGCTGCTGTTGTGCTTTTGCTGTTGCTGCTGCTGCTGCTGCTGCTGCTGCTGCTGCTGCTGCTGCTAACCTTTGCTCTGCATGCAGCAGACGGCACGGTCTGGGGTTCGTGCAGGGCTTGCAGCGCCTCCTCTGCATCCTTTTGTGTTATGCCCTCTGGCTGCAGCGCAGCACAAACTATTTCAGGTGTGAGAGAGAAGAAATCGGGTTTATCTGTCTCTTTATCTGTCTCTTTATCTGTCTCTTTATCTGTCTCTTTGTCTGTCTCTTCTTTTGTCTCTGTCTTTGCTTCTGTCTCCATCTTTATATCTTTTTCTGCTGCTTTGTCTGTCGCTGAGACGCCTTCTGCTGCTGCTGCTGCTGTTGTTGTTGCTGCTGCTGCTCCTGCTGCTGCAGCACCATTGACAGCTGCAGCAGAGGGACCCGCTGCTGCATCTGCTGCTGCTGCATCCCCTGCTGCTTCAGCACTTCCTTCTTGCTGCTGCTGGTGCTGCTGCTGCCGTTTGAGCGCCAAGGAGACAATAGCAGCAGCTCTTTGCTGCTGGTGCTGCTGCGGATACAGCAGCAGCAACGCCCGCCTGCAGAAGACCCCAGACAAGGCATGCAGCCGCAGCAAACAAAGGGGTGCAGCAAACATCCATCTTGGATTTCCTCCTGCTGCTGTTGCTGCTGCTGCTGCTGCTGCAGAAGCAGCTGCAGCTGCTTCCACGTCAGCGACTTCAGCAGCATCCGTGCCTGCTGCTGCTGTTGTTGCTGCTGTTGCTGCTGCAGCAGCAGCACGTGGTGTTGCAGCCTTAGTAGGCTTCTTTGGTGACAGCTCCGGCCACTCTCCATCAGCAGCAGCAGCAGCTTGCTGCTGCTGCTGCTGCTGCTGCTGCTGCTGCTTTAGGTTGTCTGGAGCTGGAGGGGGTGTAGCAGTAGCGAAGAGCAGCAGCTGCAGCAGCAGCGGCTCGAAGGACTCTGGCAGCAGCTGCGCTAGCAGCAAATCGGTTAGCAGACGCAGCAGCAAACGAAGACGAAGCCCCAGTTGCTGCTGCTTTGCTGCTGCATCTGGAGGAAGCAGCACTGCGCTATCACTAAAAGCAGCAGCAGCAGTAGCAGCAGCAGCAGCAGCAGCACCTTGCTGAGGTGTATAGACAGCTCCAGCGAAAGCAGCTCCTAGATTCTAATAAACAAACAAAAGAAAAACAAAATAAATAAAATAAATAAATAAATGAAGACAAATAATAAATAAATAAATAAATAAATAAGCAGACAGATAAAGAGATAGAGAATAAGAAGGAGACAGATAATACAAAGGAGACAGGCAATAAAAAGGAGACAGATAAAGAGATAGAGAGACAGAGAAGGAGACAGAGAAGGAGACAGTTAAAAGGAGACAGATAAAGAGACAGATAAAAGGAGACAGATAGAAGGAGACAGTTAAAAGGAGACAGTTAAAAGGAGACAGATAAGAAGAGACGGATAGAGACAGAGAAGGAGACAGAGAAGAAGGAGACAGATAAAGAGACAGATAAAAGGAGACAGATAAAGAGACAGATAAAAGGAGACAGATAAAAGGAGACAGAAGAAAGGAGACAGAAGAAAGGAGACAAAGAAGAAGGAGACAGATAAAGAGACAGAAGATGAGGTGAAGAACGAGATAGAGAAGGAGACAGATAAAAGAGATAGAGAAAGACAGAGAGAGCAAAGGAGACAGATAATAAAAAGAAGACAGAGAATAAGATAGAGAAGGAGACAGATAAAGAGAGAGACACATAAGGAGACAGATAATAAGATAGAGAAGGAGACAGATAAAGAGAGAGGCAGATAAGGAGACAGATAATAAGATAGTGAAGGAGCCAGAGAAGGAGACAGAGACATAATAAAAGACAGAGAAGTAGATAGAGAAGGAGACAGTTGTTTAACATACCTTAATAGAGCTTGAAAGAGCAGAGACAAACAAAGCAGGAAACTCAGGATAGACATCGCTTAGATAAACGACAGCATCTGCAGCACTGCGGAGCGCAGCAGCTTTACAGTTGAGCTCAGCAAGTGCAGCAGCAGCTTCTGCTAAGAATAGCGAGAGGTTTACCCCCTGCAGCTCCTTTAGCAGATTGTCTCTGCTGTCTCTTTCGTTTAAATGCTTTAGTCTGTTCAACGCCTTTTGTATTCTATAAAAACTTTTCTCCTTTAAAGAAACGCAAGTGGCTGTAAAAGAAGAAGTCCGAGAGAGACGACCCCAAGATAAATCTCGCAGGTCCTCTGCAAACGAAGCTATCTGCTTTGCTGCTGCTCCTGCTGTTGCTGCTGCTGCTGCTGCTGTTGCTGCTGTGGGTGGTGCTGCTGCTCCTGACGTCGATGGTGCTGCTGCTGTGCATGAGGATGCTGCTGCTGCGGATGAGGCTGTTGCTGCTGACGGTGTTGCTGCTGCTGCCGATGGTGCTGTTGCTGCTGCTGCTGCTGCTGTTGCTGCTGCTGTTGCTGCTGCTGCTGCTGCTGCACCTTGTTCCCCGGGTTTCTCTGTCTCTGCTGCGGTGTCTCTGGAGTTCTTCTTCGAGCCCTTTAAGCCCTCTGTCCTCCGCGCATCTTCACAGCCACGCCCTAACTCCATGTTCTCTCATTCCTGCTGCTGCAGCAGCAGCAGCAGCAGAGCAGCAGCAGCAGAGCAGCAGCAGCAGCAGCAGCAGCAGCAGCAGCAGGAGCGGGCTAGCAGGGGCGCTGGCGGTCAGGAGAGAGTTCGCAAAGAAAGAAAGAAAAGAAGAAGAAGAAGAGGGTGTTGATGTTTGTATTTATTGTAAATAAGAGTGGAGACAGATACTGCAGTCTCCTCTAAAAAGAGACAAAGAGACAGTTGCTTTGAGGGCCCCCAGCTGTCTCTGCATACACTTAAATAGAATATACACCCGAATAAAACTATAAAATTCTTCTTCAACTCCCCGCTAGAGCTGCTTCTTCTTTATCTTCTCCTTTGCTTTGTACAAAATCAGCATCCGCTTGCGCTGCTGCTGCTGCTGCTGCTGCTGCTGTTGCTGCTGTTGTTGCCGTTGCCGTTGCTGTTGCTGCTGCTGTTGCTGTTGCTGCTGCTATTGCTGCAGTTGGGAGCGCTAAGGGAATTAAAGCTTCCATAGAAGATACATGCAGAAGAGCAGCAGCAAGTATAAAGTTTGTTGCTAAACAAAGCTATTAAAACTTCTTTACTGTGAAGAGTGGCTTAGAGAGGTGCTCAGGGCCTTCATCTCTTTGTATTGAGAATCCAGCTGCAGTAATTAAATAGAAAATAATAATAATATTAATAAAATAATTAATAAAAATAGAATACGATAAGTTAATATCAAAGGCTTACAGCAGCAGCAGCAGCAGCATCAGCAGTAGCAACATATTCTCAGCTGTCTACATATATATATATATACACTGCATGAAAAATGCAGTGTATAGGCAGCTAAGATTATAAATAATATATATATTTGATGAATTTAAATGTTTGTATAATACAGAATAAAATAAAATAAATAAATAAATTAAACTTTAATTTATTTTTATTTTTATTATCAATTAAAAAGAAAACATTAAAACAACTAAATTTATTACAGCACCGTAGCTCAGTGGGAGAGTGGGGGGCTCATAACCCCCAGGTCCATGGATCGAAACCATGCGGTGCTAATAATTAATTTAATTAATTTGTTTTATTTATTTTATTTATTTTATTGTTTATTTACGCATTTAATTATGTTTAGTTGTTTTATTTAGTAATATAATTATATTTAATTATATTTTATTGCGTTGTTTATTCTTTTAAACCATGCGGTGCTAATAATTAATTTAATTAATTTAATTAATTTAATTAATTTATTTTTTTTATTATCTAATTACGTATTTAATTATATTTAGTTGCTTTATTTAGTAATATAATTATATTTAACTATATTTTGCTGCATTCTCTTAAGCCACGCGGTGCTAATAATTTAATTAATTATATTTTGTTCTTTCATTTCTTATTAACTTAATTTAATTAATTATTTAATTATATACAATTGTTTTATTTATTAATTAATTTATTTAACTGCATTTAATGATCTTAATTTAATTTTATTTAACTTCGTTAATATCATTATTATTGCTCATACCTTTAAAACTTTTAATGCTGTTACTACTAATACTTTTAACATTATCATCTTTAATACTAATACTTTTAATATTTTTACAATTAATACTAATGCTGTTAATATTAATGCATTACTACTAATGCTTTTAATAATATTATCTTTAATACTACTACTTTAAATGCTAATACTTTTAATATTATTATCTTTAATAGTACTACTTTTAATACTAGTGCAATTAATACTAATACTTTTAATATCATCTTTAATACTAATACTATTACTACTAATACTTTTATTGCTTATACTCTCAATATTATTACCTTTAATACTTATATTTTAATAATATTATTATTTTTAATACTCATACTTTTAATACTATTATTACCTTTAATAGTTATATACACTTATAGTCATCCCCTCTATACTCATATACCCCGAATAATAATACTATGAAAATAATATAATAATAATAATAATAATAATAATAATAATAATAATAATAATAATAATAAATAATAAATAATAATAATAATAAATAATAATAATAAATAATAATGATAATAAATAATAATAATAATAAATAATTATTATTATTATAACGATTGACCTAATCATAATACTTTCTTAATAATATTACAATTCATAACCATACCCATAATTATATATATAATATGTATATATTATATAATAATAATAATAGTAATTATTATTATTATTATTATTATTATTATTATTATTATTATTATTATTATTATTATGTCTGTCTCTGTCTCTGCTGCAAATTAAATAATTTTCGTCTCTTTACCCTCTTCTGTCTGATTGCTGTTGTATTTTGCTTGCTATAATATACATATAAATATATTTTTAAAGGTATAAATATAAAATATAAAGATAAAGACAACTAAAAGAAATAAATATAAATATATTCATTAGAAAGAGAACAGCAAAAGATAGCATGCATTTTCAATCTGTCTCCAAACTGCAGCAGATAGCACTGTGTCTCTAAACTGCAGCAAATCATATATTGTTCGCTGCGATGCTGCTGAACCCACAACAGATGCATCACCCCCCGCAGTATCAGCTGTTGCTGCAGCGGCTGCAGCAATGCTTACTGCAGCAGCAGCCTCTGCAGCAGCAGCTTCAGCAGTAGCAACAGCAAGCCCTGCAGCTGCAGCACGAGCGCGCTGCAACTGCAACTGCAGCTGCAACTTCAGCTGCAGCAGCAACTGCAACTGCAGCAGCAACTTCAACTGCAGCAGCAACTGCAACTGCAGCAGCAACTGCAACTGCAGCAGCAACTGCAGCAGCAACTGCAACTGCAGCGGCAACTGCAGCAGCAACTGCAGGAGCATTTGTTTGCGTCAGTGTGTTGCTGCTTTAAGTTTAGCTTTGATTTGTTTATAGATTTTGTTCGGTATTAAGCAAGGAGGTGCTGGGGGCGCCTGCACACATCTATAGAAGAGAAGGTACGGTACATCATCTTTGTTTTTATCTCTGCTTGTTTTATTAATTAAATGTTTATCAGCTAGCTTCACTGAGCTGTCATCCATTATATACCAGGGCCTCAACCTGCTGCTGCTGCTGCTGCTGCTGCTGCTGCTGCTGCTAGTGCTGCTGCTGGTGCTGCTGGTATTGCTGTTGCTGCTGTCGCTGCTGTTGCTGCGGGTCGCACCACCACCACCACGCCCACCAGCAGCAGCAGCAGCAGCAGCAGCAGCAGAAGAAGGATGGGGTGTACGTACAGCTGAAGGAGGCTCTTCAGACCTTCTGCCTACACAATAATAATGCCCCGAGTTAGCTGTTGCTCCTGCATGCAGAACAGCAGCAAACAATTCATATTGAAAGCCGCATAGGAAAAGAACAGCTTCTGTCTCGACGTGCTGCGTGTCTTTACACCTCGAAGTTGTTGTGGGGTCCCAGCTGTATCGATTCAATGTTATTATTAAATGCGCCGGGGGGCTTTTAATCTCCAGCCACTTTGCTGCTTCTTGCTTCTTGTTGCAGCATTCGCATGCATATTTATTGTCTCCTTCAAGAACTTCTCTTTGAACAAGTGCATCAAATAAACCCTGTACAGACAGACCCCCCTTCCTTTTGCTGCTTCTGCTTCTGCTTCTGCTTCTGCTGCTGCTGCTGTTGCTGTTGCTGTTGCTGTTGCTGTTGCTGCTGCTGTTGCTGCTGCTGTTGTGGGGTGCGGATCCGTCTGCTGCAGCAGATAGCGGGAACGCAAAGCCGCTTACTGTCTCCTCTCTTTTACTTTGTCTACCGCAGCAGAGACATTGAACAGACTGCTCAACGACGCCAGCAAACAGCAGCTGCAGCAGAGCCCCGCTCTGACCTCCTAATAACTCAAATAAGCAATGAAGAGCTTCACTGACATCTTGCTGCTGCTGCTGCTGATACCCCGAAGGCAGAGCTCGCAATACACCTGAAGGGTCAACACGGCTGCTCTTTGAAACAGCCATTTCAGTGTACAGACACTGCAACGCATGCAGCAACTCAGGACTCCCGCTGCTGCTGCTGCTGCTCCCGCTGCTGCTGCTGCTGCTGCTGCTGCTGCTGCGGGTAGGAAGGCTGAAGCGGAACAAGTTGGCGACGAAGCAATCACATAAATACAAAGCCTGCAGCAAACTGTTTAAATAGCAGCTATTACCTGTATTACAAATTCCTAAAGGCATACGAACTCTTCTTCTTTGATGCAGGTGCAGATACACCTCAACACAAGAAGACATATCCAGCCTGCTATCCAGCTGCAGCGCAAACACTTGCTGCTGCTGCTGCTGCTGATGCTGATGCTGCTGATGCTGCATCATCTCCAGGTGCTGCTGCTGCTGCTGCTGCAGCAACAGCTGCTGCTGCTGATGTTGCTGCAGCAGCAGCTGCTGCTGCTGCGGCTCCCCTTGAGAGTACCCGTAGCTGACGGGAAGGGGGCAACATGCAACGACAGGTTGCTGCTGCAGCTGCAGGTAGAGCGGCTGCTCCTGCTGCTGCTGGGGATACGCTCCAGCAGCAGCAGCTGCAGCAGAAACAGCAGCAGCAGGGGCCCAAGGCACCGCTATAGACTGACAAGTCATCTCTGCTGCAGAGTTGCTGCAGTAAGCACTGCCGCAAGACGCAGAAGAAAAGGGCCCCCAACCTGGTAAAGGCTGCAGCACAAGCTGCTGCTGCTGCAGCTGCTGCTGCTGCTGCTGGTCCTGCTCCTGTTGCAGTTGATGCTGCTGCATTGCGAATTGAGCCGCCTGTTGCGGAAACGAAGGCCACTGCTGCTGCTGCTGCAGAGGGCCTGCTTCTGGTGCTGTTGCTCCGTATGTCGGTTTGCTGCTGCTGCTGCTGCTGTGGCTGTTGCTGCCCCAGCTGCTGCTGTTCCCTGGGTGTGCAGACACCCCAGAGAAGAAGGTGGGGTTCCCCGCCAACTCAGCAGGGGCCCAATTAACTAGTTGCTGCTGCTGCTGCTGCTGCTGCTGCTGCTGCTGGACGCGTGCTGCGGCAGCTGCTGCTGCTGAGGGACTCGCAGGCTGCACGCCTTTGCCTGAGGAGGTACCTGCTGCTGCGCGTGCTGCTGTTCCTGCTGTTGCTGCTGCTGCTGCTGCTGTATCTCCTCTTTCACCTCTACTGTCTGCACCCACAGAAGAAGCAAATGCTCTTCGATGCGAAGTTCGTGATGCTGCTGGAGCTGCTGCTGCTGCTGCTGCTGTTTTTGCTGGTTTGCTTCCTTTTGCTGCTGCACCTGCTGCAGCAGCAGAGCTGCCGCGTTCGCCCTGAACGTGCTGCTGCTGGTGCCCCCGTTTCTTCTGATCCAGTTGCTGCTGCTGTTGCTGCTGCTGCTGCTGCTGGTGTTGTTGTTGTTGCTGTTGATGTATTTTCTGCTGATGCATTTGCTGCTTCTGCATGTGCTGTTGCTGTTGCTGCTGCTGCTGCTGCTGCAGTTGCTGCATTTGCTGTTCCGTCACACTGTTCTGTAGGTCTGTCTTGCTGCTGCTGCTGGTGCTGCTGCTGGTGCTGTTGCTGCTGCTCTTCTTCTTATGCCGCGCAAGCAGCAGCAAGATACGCCGATGAAGATGTGGGGAGAAGCCATCTCTTCTAAATACTTTTTCAATACACTCCCTAGCAGATCCAGCTGCTGCTGCTGCTGCTGCTGTTGCTGCTGTTGGGGGGTCCCCCTGTGGGGGGGCCCCTGGGGTTCGTCTTGTCTTGCTGCTTCTTCCGCCTATGTGCAGGCCGCGACCCCCTAGAAGCAATGCATCTGCTGCTGCTGCTGCTGCTGCTGCTGTTGCTGTTGTTGCTGCTTCTGTCGTTGGTGTTTGTGTTGGAGTGTTCCTTCTGCTGCTGCTGCTTCTGCTGCTGCTGCCTGCTGCTGGGTGCGAGAGGTGACCGACATGCAACAGGGCGCTCGCTCTCCCTGCTGCTGCGCTGCTGCTGCCCCAGGACTCACCCTGCTGCTGCTGCTGCTGCTGCTGCTGCTGTTGCTGCTGCTGGTACCTGTGGGGCTGCTGCAGCGCAGCAAGAGCAAACCTGCTGAGAGGAATAAAAGAAAGTGCCTCGGGTGCTGCTGCTGCATCCGAGTGCTCCATACCTGAATGAGCCCCAGACGTGCTGCTGCTTGCTGCTGCTGCTGCTGCTGCTGCTGTTGCTGCTGTTGCTGCGCCAACGGGCTGAGCCCAATGCTGTCGCTGTCGCTGCTGCCGCTGCCGCTGCTGCTTCTGCTGCTGCTGGGTGGCTGTGCTGCCTGCATCAGACGAGGGGTTTGCTGCTGCACCTCTCCGTCTATATCTTCTTTGCTGCTGCGCCAAGTCAGGGGGGCCCCCCGACGAGAATGGGGGCCCCTCTTCGCTGCTAGTGTCACCACAGGTAGCCCAGAGCACTGGCTGCTGCTGCTGCTGCTGCTGCTGCTGTTGCTGCTGTCTCACCTTGCCAGCAGCAGCAGCAGCAAACCGATCTGCATCACTGCTATATCCTATGCAGGATGCAATGTCGCCTGCCTGCTGCGGCACCGAAGTGAAAAACAAGGGCCTTCTGCTGCTGCAGTTGCTGCTGTTGCCGTTGCTGCTCTTGCTGACATGCAGCAGGTGTTGCTGCTGCTGCTGCTGCTGCTGCTGCTGCTCACAGTAGAAGTACTCCTCCTCGCTGTGTCTGTCTAGGGTGCGCCGATAGGGCCTACAAGCTGATTCTGCTGCTGCTGCTGCTGCTGCTTCTCCTCTGCAGTCATCAGCAGCAGCAACGGGGTGCAGGTACACCGGAACGCAGCCATCAGCAGCAGCAGCAGCAGCAGCAGACCTACAGCTTCCGTGCGGCGGCAGCAGCACTAGCTGCTGCAGCTGCCTGTGCAGTTCCTGCTGCTGCTTCTCCTTGCGGTGCGTGCTGCTGTGCTGCTGCATCACCAAGGCTGTCTGGATCTGCTGCAGCAGCTGCTGCAGCAGCTGTGAGGGGCCCCACACTTCCCCTTCTACAGCAACTCCAGTAGCAGCAGCAGCAGCAGATTGCGTACTCCCTGCTGCTGCTCTTTGCTCGTCTGATGACAATGGAGACAAGATCCTGTCGGCAGCCAAAGGCTGCAGCAGCAGCTGCTGCTGCTGTTGCTGCTGCTGCTGCGGAGGGTCGTCAGCAAAGGCGTGAAACGGGCGCTTGTCTGCTGCTGTCTCCTCTGTGCAGCAAGCTGCAGCAGCATAAGGAGACAAACTGTCTCCTCTAGCAGCCGCCACAGCCTTGCTGCAGCGCTTCAGGAACGGCAACAGCCTCTGCACCCCCCGCAGCACCAATGGATTTAGCTGCTGCTGCTGCTGCTGCTGCTGCCTTTCGAAGAGCAGCAGCAGCAGCAGCCAAGTTCCTGCACCGCAGGTGTCTATGCACGTGACAAGAGTTGCTGCAGCACCCCGCAAGCAGCTCTCTGTGAGGGCGAGGTCTCCTCCCCTTCGCAGCAATTGCTGCTGCTGCTGCTGCTGCTGCTGCTGCTGCTGCTGCTGCGCGTCGGTGCCATTGTCGGCACCGCCAGGGAAAGCAGCAGCAGCTGCTGCTGCAGCAGCAGCAGGGTCTACCCCTTCAGAAGCAACCTGCAGCAAACTGCGCATCAGCACCAGGCAGCCAGCAAGCCCAGGGGGCCCCCCTGGTCTGCTGCTGTTGCTGTGGTTGCCGCTGCAGCTACTGTTGCTGCTCTCGCTGCTGCTGCTGCTGCTGCTGCTGTCTAGAATGGCTCTAAGGGAGGCCAGCCACAGCAGCAAAAAAAGCGTCAGCAGCTGTCCCCTCATAACGCTGCACACAACAACACAAAGCAGCAGCAGCATCAGCAGCAGCAGCATCAGCAGCAGCAGCAGCAGCAAAACAAGTGCGATGAAGCAACAGCAGCAGAGAGCCACTGAGGGGAGAAAGGAGAAGCAGACCTGCTGCAGCTTCTACTGCAGCTTTTACTGTTGCTTCTGCTGCAGCCGCTGCCGTTTCTGCGGCTGCTGTTTCGGCTGCTGCTGCTGCTGCTGCTGCTTACCCCGCATCAATAAGCACCTTCCTAAGTGCTGCTGCAGCAGCAGCTTCCTGTAGGTCCTGGAGGCCCGCGAAGACAGTGAGGGGGCAGCAGCTCCGCCGCTGCTGCAGCTGGTGGAGTGCAGCAGCAAATGCAGCAGCAGCAGCAACATCAGGCCCCGCAGCAGCAGCTGCTTCAGCAGCAAGGGTCTGCAGCAACGGCTTATCCCAGGGAGGCTGCAGACAGCAGCAGCAGCATCAGCACAGCAGCAACCGCATGCACAGCAGCGAAGGGCTCCAAGCATTGAAGAAATTAGTGCTTGTGTTTAGGGTTTCAGGGTTTAGGGTTTATGTCTTTAGGGTTTAGGGTTTCCGTTCTAGGGTTTAAGGGGCTCTGTTGTTAGGGTTTACGGCCTAGGGTTTAGGGTTCAGGGTTTGCGCTGTTAGATATTAGGGTTTAGGGTTTAGAGTTTCTGCTTGCAGGGTTTAGGGTTTAGGGTTTAGGGTTTAGGGTTTGTGTAGGGCGTACACAATCGGGTGCTGCAGCCCAGTGCAGCAGGGCGGCGACTCTGCTTTCCCTGTTTGCTGCAGCAGCAGCAGCAGCAAACGCATGCAGCAGCAGCAGCAGCTGCGAGCGAAGATAAGAAGGAGGAAGCAGCGGCAGGGGCTTTCTAAATCTAACTCGAGATAAATAATCTTCATATCCTGCTATGCATGCGTGGCACCTCTCTGCTGCTGCTGCTGCTGCTGCTGACTCCGTTGCTGTTGCTGCTGCTGATGCTCCTGGAGCAGCAGCAGCAGCAGCAGCAGCAGCTGCTGGTGCTGCGTCTTCAGCTGGTGTGGCTGCTGCATCGCTGCTTCTGCTTCTGCTTGTGCTGCTGCTGCTGCTGCTTTCTGTTTGCTGATTTGGAGTGTACATGCAGCGCAGCACAGCAGCAACAAAGTGGTGCGTCTCTTTGTCGTCTGCTGCTGTCTGTGAATATCTAAAAAGAAAAGAGAGAGAATTAAAAACACTTAGGCGCAAGGCAGCAGCAGACATCTCCTCAGCGCAGCACCGGACGCAGACCAGCAGCAAATCAGCAACAGCACCCTCCGCTGCTGCTGCTGCTGCTGCTGCTGCTGCTGCTGTTGCTGCTGCTGCTGCTGCTTCCGATCGCGTGCTTGCTTCGGTAGCGTCTGCTGCTGCTGCTTGGGGCTGCTGTCCACTGCCTGGGGTTTCGAGTGCTGCCTGCGAGCGCCACAGCAAATTGCTGCTGCTGTTGCTGCTGATGCCGCTGCTGCTGCTGCTGCTGCTGCTGCAGGTGGCTCGATACCACAGCAGCAGGTGCGGCAGCAGTTTCTCTGGGGGAATCTGATGCTGGAGATGCTGCAGCAGAAGCTGCAGCTGGGCAGTATCTGCTGCTGCTGCTGCTGCTGCTGCTGCGTGCGTTTCAGTTGCTAGCTGCTGCGGGTGCTGCAGCAAATACTCAGACGAACGCCCAGCCGACAGCAGCAGCTGCTGCGCAGACACCGCAACCCTCGCTGCTGCCGCTGCTGCTGCTGCTGCTGCTACAGTCTCTGGTGTACAGACAGTGCTCGTTGCCGTCTCTGCTGCTCCTAAGCTGCAATCCTCCTGCTGCTGCTGCTGCTGCTGCTGCTGCTTTGCCAGTGTCAAAGCATCACCAGCCTGCAGTGAAGCAGCAGCAGCAGAACGTGCTGCTGTTGCTGCTGTTGCTGCTGTTGCTGCTGTTGCTGCTGTTGCTGCTGTTGCTGCTGCTGCTGCCGAAGAGTCGCGCATTCCCCAACTAACATCCGGCATGCTGCTGCTGCTCCTTCTGCTGCAGCTGCTGCTGCTGCTGCTGCTACTGCTGCTGCTGCTGCTGCATTTTACCTGTTGTTGTTGCCGCTGCTGGTGCTGCTGCTGCTCTTCTGCATGCGTTGCACTTGCTGCTGCTGCTGCTCTTTCCGTGGGAGGAGCTGCTGCTGGAGCAGCAAATGGCTCAGGCCCCCGCTGCAGCACTCCTGTACTTCTGCTGCTGTTTCTGCTGTTGCTGCTGCTTCTGCTGATGCTGCTGCAGCTGCTGCTGCTGCTCCAAGGCGAAGCACTAAACGTGCAGTTGCTGCCAGGGAAAGGCGCAGCTGGAGGCAGCGGCGGCAGCCACCGCTTCCACAGGTGCTGCTGCTGCTGCTGCTGCTGCAGCCGCTGTTGCTGCATCTGCTGCTGCAGCTGCTGCTGCAGCCGCGGAGTGCGCAGTGTATGCCTACTAGGTGCCTCTAAACTGGTGGAGCGCTGCCGGTGAGGGACAGCAGCAGCAGCAGCAGCAGCAGTAACAGGTGCAGCAGCAGCAGGTGCAGCAGAGGGAGCCCAGAAAGGACTCCGGCGCTGCCGCTGCCGCTGCTGCTGCTGCTCCTGCTGCTGCCGTCGCCGCTGCTGCTGCTGCTGCTCTGTGTCGCTACGTGGAAATGTAAAGGAAAAAAGAACGGGTTGAGGGGAGGCGTAGGGGCTTGGCTTCTCTAGCTCTCCGCTAATGCTGCTGCTGCTGCTGCTGTTGCTGCTGCTGCTGTTGCTGCTGCTGCTGTTGCTGCTGCTGTTGCTGATGATGTTGATGTTGCTGTTGCTGCTAGCGCTGCTGCTGCTGTTGCTGCTGTTGCCCCTGGTCCTGCTGGTACTGCTACTACTACTGCTGCTGCTGCTACTACAGCTGCTGCTACTACTACTACTCTTGCTGCTGCTGCTGCTGCTGATTGCTGATGCAGCTGGCTGCTGCTGCTCCTCCCTTTCTATTGCATGCTCGCCCTACGCACAGCACCCAAAAACAGCAAAAGCTGCTGCTGCTGCTGCTGCCGCTGCTGCAAGCTGCAACTAAAGGGAAACAGACAGATAAAATAGAGACAGAAGAGACACAAACGCCTTACCGAGGAGACAGACGCCTCAGGCTGCACCTCTAGCTGCTGATCCTCATCCAGCTGCTGCTGCTGCTGCTGCTGCTCGTGTTCTGACTGTTGTTGCTGTTGCTGCTGCTGCTGCTGCTCGTGCTGCTGTTCCTCTTGCTGCTGTTCGGCTTCACGTTGCAGCAGCAGCTGCTGCTGTAGCTGCTGCTGCTGCTGCTGCTGTAGCTGCTGCTGCTGCTGCTGCTGCTGCTGCTTTGCTGCAGGGACCTGCTGGCGAGGTGAAGAGGGGAAGGAAGGGATAGAAGGCGGCGTTTGCTGCTCTGAGTCTGAAGTTGTTGCACTTGTTGCTGCTGCTGCTGCTACTGCTGCTGCTCCAGCAGCAGCAGCATTTTTCCGCCGCTCCGATTTGCGCCCGTGCTGCTGCTGCTGCTGCTGCTGCTGCAGCTGCAGCAGTTCCCAGACACTTATTCTGTCTCTAGAGGAGCGGGGGGAGGTGGTAATAGAGCTCTGATCTGAAGGGAAGCGAATGGGGTGCTCGATGGTGTAGCTGCTGCTGCGCTGTACGCCGTTCTGCTGCTGCTGCTGCTGCTGCTGCTGCTGTTGCTGTTGCTGTTGCTGTTGTTGTTGCTGCTCTGCTTGCGGAGGCTCCTGTTGCGGTTGTGAGGTTGGCTCTTCCTGTTGCTCATGTGCAGTTTGCTGCTGCTGCTGCTGCTGCTGTTGCTGCTGCTGCTGCTGCTGCTCGGGTGCCTGCTGCTGCAGCAGCAGCCACGAGTTGCCGCTGCTGCTGCCCTTTTGAGCCTCAGCCCCACCTACCATTGGCGAGTGGAGTAGAAGTGTTGTTGTTGCTGCTACTGCTGCGGCTGCTGCTGCTGTTGCTGCCGACGGCTCTCCCGCTGCTGTTGCTGCTGCTGCAGCTACTGCTGCTGCTGCTGCTGCTGCCCAGCAGCAGCAGCTGCAGCAGACAGGCTGGCGTTAATGCGGGTTGTACAGACAACAAACAAAGTATTAAAAGGGTTATACAATATCTCCTTACTCGTCTAAGGGGCCTTCGTACACCCCTACGCCTTCGCAGCAGTGTAGATAGACAGCAGCAGCTGCAGCAGCAGCAGCAGCAGCAGCGGCAGCATATGGAGCGGCGGAGATCTGTGCTAATAATCAGGGGAATAATAGACAGCAAACAAATGCAAAATGCAGAAGAGACTCAAAAATACGCAGATTCAATACTACGGGTTAGCGGAACTAAAGTTTAGGGTTTAGGGTTTAGGGTTTAGGGTTTAGGGTTTAGGGTTTAGTCGATAAGAAGCCAGTAACACCACACTGAGACGAAGTGGCAGCTGTGCATTCACAAACTTCTAAATAAATTTCCTTGAGTCTGAAATTAATTGTTCCTCTCCTTAATTAGGGTTTAGGGTTTAGGGTTTAGGGTGTAGGGTTTAGGGTTTAGGGTTTAGGGTTTAGGGTTTGCCGATGAAGGCTGCATGTCCTGCTCATAACGCCTGCCCGGTTCTGCTACTTCCAGTAGAAGTTAAACAAATGGGTTTAGAGTTTATGGTTTAGGGTTTAGGGTTTAGGGTTTAGGGTTTGGGGTTTAGGGTTTAGGAGTCCCTGCTGCTGCTGCATGCGTGTAAGGGTTTGACTGCTCAATGTCTTAGGAGCAGAAAGAAAAGAATAATAAGTAAAAAAGAGCAGCAGAGGGCCTAATAGTGTTGGTGATTAGGGTTTAGGGTTTAGGGTTTGTGGTGTGTAGGCCAGGGTTTAGGGTTTAGGGTTTAGGGTTCAATGTGTAAGGGTTTAGCAGCACTCTTCTACACCATCCCCTTGCATGCAGCTGCAACAGTTAACTGCACTGCAGCAGCAGCTGGTAGCAGCTCCCAGCAGCAGACACAGCAGCAGCAGCAGTTGCAGCAGCAACAGCAGCAGCAGCAGCAACAACAAGAAGTAGTTGTATGTACACCGCGTTGGTGTTTGCGTTGTAGAGACAAATTAAATAAAGTGCTGTCTCCTTTTAATTTCTTTTTATTAATTTGCAAGCAAAACCATCGGCATCTTCTTATTCATATCTTTCTGCTGCAAATAGAAACTTTGTTTGCCCTTGCATGCACTGTGCATGCACTCTGCATGCATTCTGCATGCATTCTGTACGCATTTCGCATGCATTTTGCATGCATTTGTCTCTTCACTTTGCATGCATTAGTGTCTGCCTCTTGTATGCATTTTGCATGCATTCTGCATGCGTTATGCATGCATTTAGCATTTAAACCTTTAAAAACGCCCTGAAGCTTCAACAAGATGTGGGTGTACACCGCAACTGCATGCACATAAATAGCCTTTAGAATTAATAAAATGCGGGGCTTTTAACCCTCAAACAGAAAAACAGCAAAAGAAAAACGCTTAGGTTGCAGCAGTGCATGCACTGCTGCAGGCTTGCGTACATGCATGCATGCATGCATGCATGCAATCACTGTTGCATGCCCTTCTGCTTGCATGCATGCATACATGCATGCAATCACTGTTGCATGCCCTTCTGCTTGCATGCATGCATGCATGCATGCATTGTTGCAGTGCATGCACTCCTGTATGTATGTATGCATGCATGCATGCATTGTTGCAGTGCATGCACTCCTGTATATATGCATGCATGCAGGCACTTCTGCATGCATGCACTTCTGCATGCATGCATGCAGGCACTGCTGCATGCATGCATGCATGCATGCATGCATGCAAGCGATATATTGCGTGTGGGGTCATTGGGTAAAGGCGCTTTATTTGCATTTATGCGTGTTTGTCTCCTTTTGTCTCCTTTTCATTATCTGCTGTCTCCTTTTCATTGTCTGCTGTCTCCTTTTCATTATCTGCTGTCTTCTTCTGTCTCCTTTTCAGTGTCTGCTGTCTCTGCTGTTGTGTACATTAAATTGCTGCACATTGCAGCAGCACTTGAAGGCCGTCGAGGAGAAGGAATAACATTTGAGCGAGGGCTAGGCAAGCAACGCAAGCCTGCAGCAAACACAAACAACAGCAGCAGCAGCAGCAGCAGCAAGAGCAGAATCAGCAACAGCTGCAGCAGAAGCAGGCGCAGCAGCAGCACAGCAGCAGCGGCAGAAGCAGCAGAAGCAGCAGTAGCAGCAATAGCAGAATCAGCAGCAGCACACCAGTAGCAGCACAGCAGCAGCAGCAGCAGCAGCAGCAGCAGCAGATGTGGATCATACCTGCTGCAGCAGCAGGGCCTGTCTGTGCGTTATTTTTATCTTTAGAGACAGACGAATATCTTTTCTTTGCTTTTTGCTTCTTCTCATTTAGTCGGAGACGGGGATAATCGTCAGGTGCAGTCGCACACAAAT